ATTCTTGTATTTCGTCAGTTTTTATAAAAAAATGAAGGGAACAGTAAAAAACAATAGTTTACTCAGCAGAATAGAGTAGAGCTAATAATTATTTTATAGTGGGTCTTTCCTATTCTATAGATTGCAGAAAATAATATAGTTTCGTGGAAATTTCTTATTTTCTTCTAATTTCCAATAGTTTATTTGTGTTACTTGCACTTCTATTTATTTCAAAATTGCATTACAAAATTTTCTAATTTTACCTGGAATTTTGAATAAAAATACCTAGAAAAAATTCGAGAATTCCCAGGAAAATTTTTTACAAGATTCAGTAAACTCTCTGTATATAAAATCAATGCAAAAAGTTGATTTTCAGTTCATGTAAGAGTGACAGTAAAAACTGTATTAAATTAACACTGACTAAAATTGATTTGGCGATGTTCTGTACACACATAGGTGTATCCAATTGTACATATACACATGGCAGTCGAAGTGTTAATAAAACCATTTTATATATTGTTGCAGTAAACAAAAATAATAAACAAAATAAATAATATAAATACACATACATTTGTGTACGTGCTTTATATACGTTGTAACGCGTGCAAATAGATACTTGGGTTTAGAAAGACGACTCGAGCACACGTAAAGGAGCTATTAACTTACAGTAACAAGGTGATCGCGAGGGACGATTAGAGTGCTGTCGGAAAGGGATCGTAAAATTTGTTGAATTTCGGTAACCGCTTTGTAGACTGCTTGAATTTCAAACAGCGCGAGTGATAAAGCTGTAACCGTAAATTTATCACGAGTGGACGATCAAAAGTTAAAACCGAAGGAAACGAGCGGTTTGACATGCTGACAGATCCATAGTAATAGCGTTCTGTAGAATTTCATTCTGTAGAATTGACATCTCGCGTTTTGCATACTTCTATTAATAATAGATAATAGATCCGATCGGAGAAAGGGAGAAAGAGAAAGAGCGAAAAACTATTTGTATTTCGACGTCGGAATAAGAGTTTTATAAATATCGCTAGGAGATTCTCTGTCACGAGGCAGAACGAACATTTAACGATACGTCTGCCTTCGTGGCGCATCAGGATAAATCCTTTGACAATGTATGCTCATGTAATAACGAATAAAGTAATGCTGGCACGCAACGTGATGTGGGTCGGATTTGAGTTTTATGACATTCATACGAAGACATTATTCGAAAAGGAATTTTTTTCACTTTTACGTTCCTAGGTAACTTCATTAAAATTTTAGATTTGCAGGATGTAGATAGGAATTCCACGAATTCTACGCACATGGTTCATACGAACTTTCATGCATACGAATCTGTGTGTAATGTGTTTTACGTACCAGAAAGCGTGGCCTGTTAAAATTACTGCAGTATGCGCGCTATATTTATTTGCGCGCTTATTATTATTAAACGCAGATAAATTCAGAACGAATTGTTGAATGTGAGCTTGTGAAATATTACGCTATTGTTTCTACCGTGGGAACTATACCAGCCATTAGAGTATGATCAATTGCCTCGTAAAACTATTAACCGCTTTCGAGGTGAGAGATTTAGACAGAAAGCAAAGAAAAGTAACGAGTTTATTGAACAAAATATTACTTAATAACGGCAATAAAATCTGATTAGTAGTTTCACGAATAACGATCATTACAAGGCTACTTTCGCCTGAATCAACAATTTATACTTCTATAAATATCTCTTCTATAAACAAAGATAGCTACATTAAAATTCTAAAAATGAGATAGTATCCTTTCTAACTTTCCCGTTCCAAACTAGTGTTAGATAATCGTGCCGCAGTCGATTAAGTATTAGACGTAACAGATTTGCGATTGAAAACGTGGTATACACATGCGATTTATCCGACAAACATTTTCGTCGATGCTGGCAGCAGCAGATCTCGCCATCACGTTTCGGAGAATGGAAGTCTGGCAGCAGGATTCTTTTTTTTTCTTTTTTTATCGCATATCGTGTATTTTACTACAATAAATCGCTATATCGATACAGATTGCGTCGCGTACAGACCGCGCTCTCGAAGACATAATATCGACGATGCGACGTATAGACGTGATTTTCAACGGTAAAGTGGTTCTCAAGTGTCAAATTTGTAAGATTTCCATTAGATGTGATTTCGCGTTCTGTAAGAAGAATCTCAAAGAGAGCTTCGGGCCCGCCGTTCTCCACGTCACCTAGTCATGTCTCGTATCTTACGTACCTTTTATTCGTTTAGTTTCCGACACGCCGCCAGGATTTCATTTGCGGCTGCGTGAATCTCACGTATACTGTATCCCTCAAGGATTAAAACGCCGGGCATATATGTTCTTGAATTCCCACTTGCGAGCTTTCCTTGACGTATCAGTCTTCCGCGCATGGAAGAGGCGAGACGTTTTTCAGGAAATATTTCCCCGAGACGTGTCGTCTGAATAACGCATAAGTATACAAACGAAGATGGAGCAAGGATTCGATTCCCGACAAAATACCGTTTATCCTACTTTTCCCTACGTTTTCTTTTTTTTTTTCTTTTTTTTCTTTTTTCTTTTCTTTTGGTACCACCACACGCGCACGTCTCACCTTAAATTAAGATAATATACAGAAAGAACCGTTGAATCGTCTTAATCGCTACGCGTATCGGATGTGTACAGTGTTTCGGGCGAGAGAAAACGATGCTACGTGATGGTTTTCGTGGGTCTCGCAAAAATAACGGCGGCGAGACCGAGTGTGACACACGTTTCCGCCGCCGTCGTTCAGTGAGCCCACGTATTAGGCCTGTCCAACTGGTGAGCTCTGCTTTTATGCCTAATTGACGATACCGCATTGTAACAACCCGTCTCAATGATGCATACCTTAATTCGTTCGCTTGTGTACGTAAAAAACTACGAACCTCCGATACTCCTAGTGGAGAACAATGATATTGCTAATTTCGTAAAATAGATATCGTTTAGAATAATAGATCAGTTCACGTAGATTTCATTATTCATAACTCATAAGAGTTTCATTATGTATAAGAATACAGTGATACCACGATGATGTCTCTTACAGTGTTATTTGAATCATACTGATGTATTTGTACGTAATAGTGTGTCATTTATTTGCAGAACTCTAGGTGAATAATAGATCAGAACTTCAATAATGAATAAGTCGAAGAACAAAAGCTGTAAGGGCGAGCAACGAGAGAAATTGTGCTCAATGACAAGAGGAACGACGTAACGCTCGCCTGCAACTTTAAAATTAGTGCTATCGCGGCTCGATTCTTGCAGCGTACGTCACAATGTCGATTGTTCAATATTCAGCTGATGGTTCTTTAACTTATACAGGACGAGCAAATATTTACGCGTATATTCCATAATATTAAGAAAATATACCTATCACCGTATATAATTATCGTATATAATAAAATAACATTCGGCAACGGACGTGATGACGCTCTTCCGACGGCAATGTGGCTGAAAGTAAATAACTTTTCCATTGTATGGCGAGATTATTTTCTAACAATGATTTATACATAACAAAGACAATTATTTTCATTATCAATTTTATTACAAAATGAAGGCAGCTATCTTCATTATTAATCATTATTATAAAACAAATTCGCTATATTGTAACAACAAAAAAGTTATTTACGTTGATATTGGTATTCAGATTGTTTGAAAATATTCGCGAAGCTATGATTTTAATTGAAAAGTAATAGTACATAAATTCTGCAAAAAGCTAGAACGCGGATAAGCACTTCTTTTTCGCACAATCTTTCTCCCGGCGTTTCTTTGAATGTAACGACGATTCATCCAGTAGTATAACTTGTAACAATGCGGCCGCGAGACGCCTTAATGATGGTCTTTAATGACGGTACCGTGAGAGCGACGCTCCGAAATTGCTGTACGTACCGCGCTTTGTTCGCGTTTGTTCCGCGTGCAATAAACTCTTACAACACCGTGTCTCGTGCCATAAACGCGTTTTCGTGCGACGCGACGTCGGTGCGATCTCCATCTCGCAACGCCGTCACGACGCGACGTCGCAAAGAGCGGCGTCGCTCTTGCTTGTAAAAGGGAACAGTTTTTCATAACAATTTTTATAGAAGGGAAAAACGTAAGATTGTGGCGTGAGCAGAAACGCACGCTTCGCAATCGCGTTCAAGCGTCAACGTGAATTTTCGTGTTTTGACTGATATTTTCTAGATGTCCTTTTTATTTTTCACGTTTGTGTATCCCAAGAGAAATTTTCCAGACTTCGTGGGAACGTGTTATTCAAGCGGATTTAAATCGTATTGGTATTCAGATTGTAAGATCGAAAGAGGTCGTATTGTGCGGTATATTCGGATTGATTTGAAATACTTACCAAGTTATCACGGTCTTAACAAGATGAGTGAATATCTTGCAAGCAGATGCTTTTTCTACTGCGACTCGACACGCTGGAAATATATAGTCGATGCGAAGCTAATTTGACTTTTTAACTTATGATTCCGAATTAATTTGTCACAACGGTTCAATTAATCGCAATGCTGTCGCATTAATCGTTACTATTAGTAAATATATTATTTGTATGATGTAAAATTGTAAAATATATCGAATATAGGTTCTACAGTCTATCTATTTAATTTACAAACCAGCCAATTTCATTGCTTATTGCATTATCTTATAATCAATTAAAATTGTGTCGTTTATATTACTGTAAAATCGTGAATCTAAAGTCGTTATTATATGTGTAATTTATTCGAAGAGAGCCGATCAATCCTTGAGCCGAATGTTATTTCTTTGAAATAAGGGAAGCATCCAGTCACATGTTTTCTTGATAATCCTCAAATATCTAGATTTTATTATTGCAACTGTTCTAATTCTGATTTGTATCAAATGGTGATTTCTGTTTAAAATCACTTGAGCGACACATTCCCAAAAACTATCAAATCTCGGTTTATATACGCTACTTGGTCATTTTTCTTTTTAAATCGAATAATTTCGGAATCACAACACGCAAGTACAAGAATTAAAATTGTGAGAATGATAACATTTGTAAATCTAAATAATGTAAAAAGTGTTCTTAAAAGGAAGGGCAGTGTTTGTAACAGATATGGGCGACGCATAGACATGTATCACACATGCACACATCTATCAGGTCTGTGCTTTTGGAACCCACCTAATCAATTATTTCGATTTCCGAGATACATACAGTCTCACCTTGTTAGCGACACGATCGATTCGTTTGCACTGACCGCGTGAATTTTCCATCCGACCGGCCCGAAACCTGGTCTGTCGAAAACGGACGATCAGCAGATCGGCGCCCCGGAAGTTGGACAGGCCTTGCCTAACGTAATCCGCCTCGTTGTGGCGTATTCGACCCGGGCAGTAAGTATTTACATAATTCGAGTCGCATGCGCGTCGCGTGTAATGACTTGGAGCAGGCAATCGCGCAATCTTCCACGAAAATCTCGCATATCTAAGTAGTCCAGCCGGCGGCAACTTCGACTAAAGTAAATAAAGAATAAGAGGGACGAGTGAGGATGGTGAGGGAAGGGTGGGTTGGAAGATGGAATGGAAGACGGGAGCGTGGTTTGAGGAGGAAAGGAGACCCGCGAGGAATGGATGAGGAGAGAGTATGGAGCCTGGGGGGGAGGGGTGGGGTGGGATGGGGTTGTTGGAAAAGATGAAAAAGAAGGGAGGGAGGATGAGCGGACCGTAAAGTCCCGGAGGGGAAAAGAGGAGGGGGTAGGATAATATCCTATCTATCACAAACGGAAGTAATGACGTAATAGTTATGGACATTTTCGAAGTAAAACGCTTATCGCGCTAAAACGACGCCCGCTACGACGAGTACCACCGGTACCAGCACTCCCGCCAGATTCCTCTTCGCTGCCGACGTTTTGCGACGTTGTATCGCTGCCATCTTGTCACCTGAAATGGCAAGAGAGACAGGTGGATCCGTTAGTAAATCGGTTGCCGAAATCGATCGGCGTTATTCGTCGAGGTGCGCCCCCGTTATCGAGGTAATCGAGCACACATCGACGAGAGGTCGCGACGAGGACGGGACGACGTTCCCGTTGGAAACGGTGGCGTGTCTCTTGTAAGTTAAGTCGAGCGTTATTTCCGAGCGTTATTTGGCACACCACGTTCGTCGTTGCCGCTGCAACATGTTAAAGCCGAGAGAGTACAACCGGCGATAAAGCGATTGCACTCTCCATCTCTTTATCTTTCTCTTTGGCTCTCTTTCGTTACCCCGCCATTCTTTCTTTCTCCCGTTACCATTCTGCCTGTTATTTAATAATTGCGTCTTCCGTCACGCGCGCGCTTTCAGCCGCTCGCACGAGAGAGCGATCGGAAGGCGACTTACACAAATTACGCAGATTAAATCCGCATATGCAAACAGACGCGAATCCGCGGCACACGCTTTCACGCTAAACGGCTGGTTTGATTTGAATCCATTATTCATATTGAACGTACCACGCTATACGCGCGTACGTATGTATGTGTTGGCCGAACGAAAGTCAAGACGGATCAATGCGAGTCGTACAGCGCAGCGTGGTACATGCGTCTTATTACTCGAATATTCGGAATTCCAATACTCGGATTAACACGGATTTTTATCTGTACAGTAGTCGAACTAAAAATTATATCGCGAGGAGGATAACTACCGTCTGAAATATTGTCTCCCACTTTTACATGATTTTATATGATTTCATCGGATTATAAAAATAATTTTTTTCACTACATATGAAGACATTTGATAAAATATACGATTTTATTTAATATTATACAATGATTTCTCGTGGTTGCATATGTAATTATCGGATTATTATACAATATATAGAGATTTCATATGAATTTTCTAATGATTTCGAGGACTCTGACTCAATTACATTAAGTGATTACCTCATCTCGTTATATCGGGCATGCATCGTAATTTCTCAGAAGCCAAATCAATCGATTTCGTTTTTTATAAATTTTTAAACTTAGTACCAGAGTGTTCAGTTTCGTCGATTTTGTCTACTTTACATTTTGTAAAATCAGTTTAGTTTTTAAGAGATCCGTATCATAAATAAAAAGATAAATTTTTATTAATGCGTTCGGGACTTTACGTTTTGATCTGCTTTTATATTTATAAGATACATACAGAATATTTTTTTAAGTACTGTTTAATATTTTAAAAAGTTTTTTGAGCTTATTTTATGATAAAAAGTCGATATGAATATATGATCCCGATTCTCTTACATACATATTTTCAGAGATACAAAGTATTAAAAATAATCGCTTTCTTAAAAGTTCTTGAATGAAAAACGGTTTAAAAATAAATTAATTTTTTATATCTAATTTTTTCCAGATATTGACATCGAATTTACTATAAATGGGTATATCTTTAAATTAAATTAACTATTCTATATTAATTGTAAATTCAATTTTTTCAAAAGTATCAAGCCAGTAATACTATTTATTGCAATTATCTTACTTTTTTAGGTCTGAAAAAGTTTTTGAAGAAGAAAACTTTTTTCGTTTAAAAGTTATAAAAAAAAAAGAATAATTATATATATATAAAATGTTTAAATTTATATCTCTGAAACGAGACTTTTAAGATCATATTTTCACATACACTTCTCTTCATATGATAAAATCTAAAAAATCAACTCCTAAAATATTGGACAGTATTTAAGAAATATCCTGCATAGAGACGATTACATTTTATATATCAATCCACGTATCTATATTGTACCGAATTACGCCGATCGTTACAGTCGAACATACCAAAGAATCGAGGAATAAAGAGGAGAAATTGCATTTTCTTCTGCGGCTTGTATTCAAATCCCAACTCGTATTGATATCGAACGGCAATTCGATTGTGACGGTTTCGCAGAGATCTCCCCTTTTTTCCTTGCATGATGTAAACAACGTTTGCGTCGTGGATCGACGTTGTGTAACGCGGATTTCTTTCACTCGGATTAGCGACTCGCGGAGGATCCGAAATAAATTCTGGCCGTAGATTTCCATTATAATTTCCAATTGAAATTGTGGACTCCCACGGACTCGGCCGGCGTGTCTTCCGTTGCATACAAAATTACTTCTCAACACTCCGACGCGACGCATCGCGTCGTGCGGCGCTGTGTTCCGTGGAACTGCACAGAATGCGCCGTGGATTACTGAGCTAATTACTGTCGTAGTTACTCACACCGTGCGTCGTAGCTATCCCGCGGAATAATTAATGTTGATAATAGATATATGCCGTATATTATAAATTGTGTTATACAATATCGCGTGCGTCATAGCGAGTGCCGATATTAATTCGTTGTTACGAAGATTGGAGATAATCAAGGGGTGACAAGTATGTAATTAGTACCGATACGAGGAAACTACTTTCAATCAATATCACAGCGTTATCAGCCTCATTCTTAATGTACGCAATGTAATAAATTGTTTATTCATCGAGATATTTAATAGTGATAATGATAATTATGAGAAGGAAAATTATATGTTTATTACACATGTGTACGTATTATGATTTAATACCATTTTCATACAATAACTTGTAAACATAATAATGATTTTAACCAAGCTCAAAATTCTTTAGATGATAGAAATTCCAGATAAAGAGTAGTACATAATTGAGTTATAATTGATCAATTAAATTTACATTAAGCAAGTGTTTGTTTCAGACCTAAATTAGATGACCGCTAAAAGAAATTGGTACGACTAAAATATCAATCCATTCTTGCTCAATTACATCTTTTTTCTTCTTTTGAGTAAATAAAAGTCTGAAATGAAGAACGTTTAATGAATAGAGAAAAAGGATAAGGAAATTTTTATACTCAAAGTATAAGAATTCCTTGTTAATTGGAGGAAAGGTAATTTAGCATTTAATCTACATTGTTTCTCGCAAATCTCTCGACGAGAAAATATTTACTTTATCAGAAAGTATTATTTAAACGAATTGAAATTAGTATATATAATTATAGTAGAGAAATACGAGAGAATTGTTGAATGAATTGGACACATACCTATACACAATTACTATATATGTATATTTTTTTTTCTCTATCGCATTATTTAAAAATTATATTAATATGTGTATATGTATGTATAGATAAAATTATAAAAATGTTTATGTTATATACAATACGTAATATGAATATTTCTCAAAATAAATGTATTATATTAATAAACCAATTTTATTGCTAATGAGAACAAACTAAGTATATATTTTATTTATTACTGCTGACAGCAGGTCAAAGTACGTTAAAGTAGGTTACAATACGTAAAACACACTAATTGTTAGTACAATATAAAGTATGTCATGGCATGTTTTAAAGTACTAGAATAAAACTTTTGTTGACATACATCCAAGTAGCCTTCAGTAGCCAACTAGCTGTTCCAGAATTTTAATTTAAGGCAAAACATTTAGATGGCAAAATATACACTAATCCGTACGTTAGATATTTAAATGTATACTTGAAAAAATTGCAACAAATAAGGCTATTCCGTCGAGAAAGAATTACTTCAAATTACGGAGAGTCTGTATTATTAACAATGAGAATCCAATAAAATGCTTTAATAAATTACTAATTACTGTATAGCATGTATGGAAATTCTTTAACTTGCAGAGTGTTTTGCTAATTTTTTTCCAAAGTGCTTAGGATTTCGATAGACTTCTTCGATTTCTTTTCGCATGTGAGTCTCTAATATAGATTCTTCCGATTTGACCAATTTTTTTCTCATCCATCGATGCGAGATAACGGCAGAGATGCACAGATTATTTGATTTGCGTGCGGGCATTATAAGGCGCTTATAACTCGTTCGCGTCTAATTAACCCACGGCCAATGTTTTGTTTTCAGAGAGCTTGCATCTCTGGACTGAGACTATCGCGATTTCTCCTTTCATGCGGAATAAAGGCGTCTATTGTGTGAATGCAGTGCTTTCATCTATTCGCCGGTTTACAAAAGACGCTTGGTCTTTGCGTTTGTTTCCGAAAATGCATTTTGTACTGCTATTACACAGAGCCTACTATGCGCCTGCGTATCCATGTATTCGGGCATTGTAGTTATCGATAACAAAGGAACAAATTTCACGCAAAGTTACTCTTCGCAAATTAAAGTTTACTTCTCGTATGTATGAAAATTATATTCCGTATCAATTCCACGAAATTAATTTTTACCAACGCGCTCATTTTTTTCTCTATATTATAATTAATCTTTTACAGACAAAACACAGTGGAGATAATTAGAAAATCATTCTATTAACAACTGCAAAAGAGAAATTTATCTTCTCGCAAATCGTTGTTTATATGCAAAGCAGTACAGAGAGGTATCATTTATCGTTTTTTTTTGTCTCTTAAAACAATAAACGAAATATCTTCGTATCTACGCTTTGCATATAAACAATGGGATTTACGAGAAGATAAAATTCTCTTTTGCAATCGTTAATAGAATGATTTTCTAATTATTTCCATTGTGTTCCGTGTATTCTGCGTCTGTAGAAAATTAATCTAGAGAAAATTAATATCGAGAAAAATGCACATTGGTAATAATTGATGTTGTGTAACCGATACAAAATATAATTTTCATACATAAAAAAGTTACGAATTTAATATTTATGAAAAGATTAAAGTAATTTTTATCAAACTTTAAATACGAAGCGCCTTACAGTTCCGAGTGTTAAGATGTTGAACTAACATTCATTTGAATTGAATTAATTTTTCAGAAATAAATTGAGAGCCGATGAAATTATCGGATTCACACAATCATTCTGATAATCCCCCCAAATTTTCCCAAATCTTAAAAAATTGTAATAAACTTACTGCGAAAAACTTCCAATCATATTGTTAATTTTTATCAATAATAGATTTCTCATTAATTAATTGTAAATTTATTTAGAGTTAAAAGATCTTTCTGCGTAGGTGTATATCTAATCT